TTGAGCTGAAGAGCGCAAGGACAGTGTCCAAACCCAGAGTTCAAGCCCCACAACCAAAAAAGAGAGTCTGAAACCCTGTCTTATAAAATAAAATAAAGGCCATGTATAGTGCTTCATGACTGTTCCAAAGTTCTCAGGACACAGAGATAGGGAGGACTGAAATTTGAAGATAGCTCAGGCAAAGACTTTTCAAGACCCCCTCCCCCATCTCAGTCAATGAAACGCTGAGAGTGGTAGTACAAGCCTTGTCATCCCCACTGCATGGGGAAACAAACAGAGGGATCATGATCCAGGCCAGCCTAGACCTGAACCTTTTTTTCCAAAAAGGTCCAAAAGCACCTTATTTTAAAAAAGCAAAAAGGGCTCAGGGTGTGACTTAGTTGTGGAGCAACTGTGTGGCATGCACAAAGCCCTGAGTTCAAACCCTAGTATTGTCTTAAAAAATGATTGGGGGTATGGCTCAAGTGCTATAACAATTGCCTAACATGTGCAAGGCCTTCAGTTCTATCACTAACACCACAAAAAATAAAACAATTTGTCTAGCATCCTTCAGATGTCATTGTATATACATGTAACTCAACCTAGTTCTCAAGCAAATTACAAATTTTCATGTCTTTAACAGGAGAGACAGCAGGTATCCAAATATTTATTAGTCTTTTACTAGAATTTTTTTTGAGGGGGTCCAGTCATGGGGCCTGAACTCCGGGCCTGGGCACTGGGCCTCAGCTCTTCAGCTCAAGGCTAGTGCACTTCCACTTGAGCCACAGCGCCCACTTCTGGCTTTTTTCTTTTTGCTTATGTGGTGCTGAGGAATCGAACCCAGGGCCTCATGCATGCAAGGCAAGCGCTCTACCAATGAGCCACCTTCACAGCCCACTAGAATTTTTTTTTATACTGAGGCCCTCAAGCTTTCTATGACATTCCATACTTGAGACACACCTTCACTTCAGCATCAGCCTTGACAGAAAATGCTGAACAAGAGCACAAGACTGCTAAGGTTCTGAGTTCAAGCCCTAGTTTGAGGACACACAAAAAGAGATGTGAGATTTCTAGGATACTGAATACCAGCGGGATAGGGGAGATGGAGAGAGAGCAACAGATGAGATTAATCTACCTAAATTACACTATATACATGTATAAATTACCACGGTGAAACCCCCTTGTACAAGTAATGTATGTTAGAGAGAGAAGAAAGAAAGAAGAAATCACATTAAAGGAAAGCAAGCTATGTTGGGGTGTAGATACCAGCAGGAGGGAGAGAGCCGATGAAGAGGATAATACATGTGTGAAAATAGAAAATGTGTTAAAAAAAAAAAAAACTGGGGCTGGGAAGGTGGCTCAGTGGTAGAGTGCTTGCCTTGTATGCATGAGGCCCTGGGTTCGATTCCTCAGCACCACATAAGCAAAAAAGCTGGAATTGGCACTGTGGCTCCAGTGGTAGAGCGCTAGCCTTGAGCTGAAGAGCTGAGGGACAGTGCCCAGGCCCAGTGTTCAGGCCCCATGACTGGTGGAAAAAAATAAAAATAAAAATAAAACTTTGACATTCTATCTCACCCCATTTAGATTAGCCAACACCGGGAATTCAAACAACAAATGTTGGGGGCGGGGGGAGGGGAAAAAAAGTAACTCTATCTCACTGTTGGTGGGAATGTAAATTAGTACAACTACTCTGGAAAGCAGTCTGGACAGTCTTCAAAAAACTAAACATAGGTCTTCCCTACAACCCAGCCATACCACTCCAGGGCAGCTACACAGAACATCACAAGCCAGGACACCATAAAGACACTTGCACATTCATGTTCACTGCTGCACTATTCACAATAGTCAAGTTATGGAAACAGACCCACAATACATGAATGGATTTTTTAAAAATGTGCTACCTAATATGTGGAGGGGAAGGGAAAAAACAAATTCTTAAAACAGGGATACAGGAGGACCCATAGCAACAATGAGATGTACTAGTCGTTATGGCGAAAAACGAATTTTACAACTTTGGTGAGGGGGAGGAGGAGAAGGATACGAAGGGAAGGATACGAAGGGAGGGAAGGAGAAACAAAGGAGAAGGCTACAATGCTTGATAAGAAATGTACTCATTATCTTACCCATGTAATTGTAACCCCTCTGTACAGTATTTTCACAATAAAAATATATTTTAAAAAAATGTGTTACCTATACACAATGGAATTTCACACAGCAATTAGAAAAAATATTATGTCAAATATCTGCAGGACAATAGATGTAGCTAGAACAAACCATGTTAAATGAGGTAAGCCAAGGTCAGGGAAGCTAAGGGCACATGTTTTCTCTCAGATGAAGAAGCTAGATCTAAAATATTCTGGGACATGATAAATTATACAGGACTCTAGGTATTCACACACAGTGAGATCAAAGGAGAATGATACTCTTAGGAGAGAAACATAAAGGTGCAGCAGAGCAAAGGAAGATACTTTTAGAAGGGGAACACAAAGGTACAATACCTATGTGCATCTGACCATATAAAATAATATTTTAGCCGGGTGGCTCACGCCTGTAATCCTAGCTACTCAGGAGGCTGAGATCTGAGGATCACGGTTCAAAGCCAGCCCGGGCAGGAAAGACCGTGAGACTCCTATCTCCAATAAACCACCAAAAAACCGGAAGTGGTGCTGTAGCTCAAGTGGTAGAGCGCTCGCCTTGAGTTGAAGAGCTGAAGGACAGCGCCCAGGCCCAGAGTTCAAGCCCCACGACCGACAAAAAAAATAATAATAATAATATTTTATTGAAATGGAAATAAGAGGTTGTTTTCTTTGTTGCTGTTTTTGCTTTTATTTCTTTTTGTTTCATTTACCTGTCTTTCGGAGTGTAAGGGGCGGGGGGAACAAAGGAAATGGAGGGACAAATGCAACAGGGGTACTCACTAGGCACTATTTTGAAAATGAACAATACAACTTGTGGATGTGCAGAGCACATGGGCAGCAAAGATGGCGCTGAGAGGGAGTTGAGTGGGAAGAGCCCTATTTACTGTAGAGCACATGGGCAGCAAAGATGGCGCTGGGAAAGAGTAGAGTGGACAGAACCCAATTCACCTTACGTTCAGTGCATAACCAGCCCGTGAAAGCTTAGGTGCATGACAGGGTGTGACCTTGACAGTGATTGGTCCCTCTTCCTCCCTTGCTATGTCACCCGCCCTTTTTGGCTTTAAAAAAGGCTGCTCTCTGTTAATAAAGGAGTTTTCTACCGGCTGGATTTGGCTCCCCACTGTGTCTGATTGTCTCCCAGGCTGAGGGAGGCTGGGGAAGGGGGGGCGGGGCCGAGCGCCGCACTTACCTTTTCTCGGACCGGTTAACATGGATGGGTATAGGAGGGAAAACTAGGAGACAGCAAGGGAAGGGGTGACATTATCCAAAAGGAAATGTACTCTACCTGCCAGGCACTAGTGGCTCGAGGCTGAGATGAGGATCACGGTTCAAAGCCAGCCCACCTAGAAAAGTCCCCGAGTCTCTTTAACCACTCAAAAACTGGAAGTGGCACTGTGGGTCAAGTGGTAGAGTGCTAGCCTTGAGCGAAAGGAGCCTAGGAACAATGCCCTGGCCCAGAGTTCAAGTTCCAGGACTGGCAATAATAATAATGCGTCTTACAAGCAGAGAGGGAAATAAAGGGATTATGTTTCATCAGGGTATACTGGATGAATGGATGGAAATGTCACAGTGAAATCCTCCTTTGTACAACTAATACATGAACTCTGGGCCTGGGTGCTGTCCCTGAGGTCTTGAGCTCAAGGCATGTGCTCTACCACTTGAGCCACTGCGCCACTTCCAGTTTTCTGGTGGTTAATTGGTGCCCGGCGCCAATACTTTATTTTTAAAGATCAAATTTGTAGAAAATATTCTCTATGTGAGTGAGATTTGGTAGAGACAAAAGGCATTCTGTTCTCCACTCAATAGGGGTATATAATTTAAAGTTAAAACTACTTATAATAGTGGCTGGGAAGTGGCTCAGTGGTAGAGCGCTTGCCTTGCATGCCTGAGGCCCTGGGTTCAATTTCTCAGCACCACATAAGCAAAAAGAAAAAAACCAGAAGTGGCGCTGTGGCTCAAGTGGTAGAGCGCTAGCCTTGAGCTGAAGAGCTGAGGGACAGCGCCCAGGCCCAGAGTTCAGGCCCCAGGACC